CTAAATCTTTTTCGTCTTGTATTACCTCGTTTTAATTCCACTTCCTGACGAGCTATGATGACTTAGCAGATCTCAGTGGTCTAATGGCTTTCAGTTTACTGACCAAATATCTTTTTTACCCTTATAGCCCTCTTTTTTTGGTTTTACAGTTCTACTTGCGAAACTATAAGGACTTCCTTTTGAGCGAATTAGTTTGAAATTCGGACGTACAATCTCAAATACGGCGTTGTTGCTGAACACGATATACTCTGAGACCATGTATAGTACGTTGAATGAAGGGATTCTTTGTGACATTGAAAGAAGTGTTCGCTCCGATTTCTAAGCCTTGAGTGATATCAGACATGAGCTTAACTTTAACAAAGTTGTTTCATCACATCATCATTCCCTTTCAGATATTCATTCAAAGTGACTCTTCAAAATAAGGTTGAATGGAATAATTTGGAATTCATGGCAGTAATGAGCAACGCTTTAATGCAAAATGAAAAAGAAGACTAGATTGAAGGCTTGACTAATATAAATAAGTCGCTCTGTTTTCTATTCAGAAATTCTTCGACAGCCTTAGATGTCGCCTTTGCGCTCGATAAAAAGCTTCCCCTCATAAACGATGCTATCGAAAATTCATAGAAAAGGTTCACTTTTGAGCACGATGCGAGATCCTGACGAGTTCACGACACTTCCAGACCTACGACGTTTAACCTTAATACCGTAGCTCTTTGAGTGAAAATTAACAGCTCTCAAGCCCACAGTGCATACCATTACCCTTTTCACAAAGGCAATAATGTCTATTCGCTTATTTTATATTCTCGTTTGCAAAAGTACGGAGATTTAAGTAGTATTCTTGTGAAGAATCCGAAGCTTTTTCGTTCAAAAAATAATCACTGATAATCATTTCACCATTGCAAAATTACAACACTGAAACGAAGGGTTTTTTCTCAGCGTAATTCGAGTCGTTCTATTTTGGGTTCAAAGAAACCCTTCTGCCAGCGAAGCGAGGAAATTTGTCAGCCGAGAGTGAAAGAATTCGGTAATCGTTATCTAATAAGTAAACAGAAGCATGTGGAAACAAAGACTCCTTATATCTCCCACAATTCTGTCTCATAACCATTTCATGCTAAAATTTTTGAAGGAAACCATTAAAACACCACTGCGTCTCTCATAATATTGCCTCGCAGCTGTCGTCAAAGAGAGACTTTTAAAAATATAGTTCGATATCCAAAAAAAACAAAGGTTTTCTGGTCATTCTTAACCCATGAATTAAGGGTAGTATGTCATATATGGCGCGTGTGGCGCAGTGTTCGAAGGCGCTCTGCAACGAACACGTGTAATCAATCTGGTGCCCATGGCTCACCAAGTCTTCCATCCCTCTGGGATCGCAAATTGGTGCCAAACTTGTCTAGGAGGATAGCAGCACTGGCTCGATACAGGCCACCGCGAATCATAGCAGAGGCCAGATATGCGTTCAATCACCTCGAAACGATGCCTAATGAAGTCGAATGAATGCCCCATCCCTCAGGAATTGTGATCAACGCCGAGAGCTTTATCCTTTATTTTTATCATTGTGTGTTATTTAATAGGTCACCCGAACTTCATGAAAGGTTCCTTCTTTGGAGTTCGCAAACATTCGCAGTCGGGTAAAGTTGGCGACTTAACTTTTCAAACCACCGAGCGTTCCTAGAAAATAAGTGAAGAAACGGTTTCTATACTGTCACCTACGTGAAATCACTTCTGTGTTTTTTTGTGGGGGACCCAAGTCGTTTGTTCATCCTTTCTAAACACAATACGTTGTAGTATGCTATGCACCGCCCGCATTTCCCTCTCACTCGAAAATATTCTTAACATCTGACATTTTAGAACTTGTACTAAACAGCACTAACCAACTTTTTATGCTTTCAGTTATGTAGTATCCTCGGTGTCTTTCAGATTGGTCTCGTTTCTCATTAACTTAGATGGTTGCAAACACAACTTGTGCACTCTCCCCATTTCTTTCCTTCTCGTGCAACCGCCATGCACAGTGGTGGCCAGATTGCTATGTCGATTCCGCTATGTCGACTTACGAAAGCTGATTTTCTTTCCTCGCTGAAGCGTTGGATTTTCGTCGATCATGATTCCCTGGGATTCTGAAATGCGTTTTCCAATCTTCAACACAAAAATTTTCTGACCGAATTTTCTGCCTTCCAATTTTGAGGCTTATTCCAGAACAGCGGAATTCAGTGGCAACAACAATTCCTAGAAACTGTGGACTAGCCGATGACGGCGATATCACCTGTATCACCTGCCGTCCCTTTGGTCGTCGAATGACTCGATCGCGTGAGAGTAAATCACCTATTTTTCCCTGTCGCGTGCAAGAGTAGCCTAGTGGGTTCTGCTCGCTCTACAGACTCGTTGAGCATTATATCTTTCTTCTAGGCCTTTCGTGAAGAACTCTGACCATCGGGTCGGTGGTCAACCTGCAGTGCTTTTAACATCGCGAGGAATCCAGCCACTAACGGCTCTTGTCCATCGGTTGTCATTCATATGTTTTACGTGTTCGGCCCACCTTATCTTCAATTGTTTGGCGTACAGAACGGCATCTTTGATTTTTGATCGTTGACGCAGATCGAGCTTCGGATTCCATCCCTTTTGTGAAACGGGATGCTCCTAGCATCGTCCTTTCGACTGCGCATTCGATAACGCTGAGTGATCTTTCGTCCTGCTTACGCGGCGACCAGGTTTCTGACGCATACGTTAGTGCAGGAAGTACCGTTGAGTCGAATAGGTGGGCACGGAGTCGGGTGTTCTTTTTTCTCTTCACTACATCTCCGATGCTCTTGAAAGCTCCACAAGCCGCTTGTTTCCTTCTGTTCAACACTGGAGCTAAGTCGTTCATCATGTTGATTTTCCGATCTAGATAGACATTCATGGAACATTCGGAGGTATTCACTCCGCTGACTGTGAACGGAGAACCAATCCGTTCTTTATAAATGTAGTTTTAGTGAGATTTTGTCGAAGACAGGCTTTCCATATGCTTTACCAAAGTCGGCAAGCATTCGTTCTTCCTGGCTAATGTTTGATGTTATAAGAACGATGTAATCAGCAAAGCTAAGATGCTGTAATTGCCGACCATCACGGTCATGTTCTCCCATTCCAATGATGAATGACGTTCTGGAGGGTGGTGACAAATAATTTCCTCCCTTTTGACGTCGACGTCGACGGCGATATAAAAAGCGAAATTTCATTGGGTTACGAAAATTTTAAACCAGAAAACTTCAATTTGAAATACACGACCTACTGTGACCTTGCCAACTCCGATACTCTACCCGTTTTGTCTGTTCTGACTTCACTTTCTCGAAATGGATTGTAACCCTCTCGCAATCGTGTGATTGTTATCTCCACTCCAAATTTTCCAAGACGGATTGCTATTCACCAACTTTGGTAAAAATGTACAGCTTCCTTTCGGATTCCTTCTAAAATTTGCAATGAAACAATCTTGTTCCTTGTGGAATATCAACGTAATACAACTGCAATTGGACACGTAGTGCGGTCATCCAGCCAAGATGACAGACAGCGTTAACGTTCTTCCATGAACCAAAAATCAGTCATATGGCATGAGGCTGTAAGTTTACTTCTTCCTATATGTAATATATAACCTGAACAAAATATTGTGGATATATTGGAAACAATGAATGAGATGTTCAGGAGAAGGTGGAGTTGTTTGGCCCAAGCATTATCCTGCTTGGTTAGAGATTCGCAGTCAGAAGCACTGGAGACACCCAAAATAAATGAGGATCGGATTTCACACTTCATTCTTGCCTTCCATCTTGTATAGAATCTGGGCTAGAAAGGAGAAAAGAAACCAAGCTAAAGCTTGTTTCTGACAGTATAGTTCGTTTTCTGGTATTATTCTTCCGCCTGTATTTCTATTTTCTTTCTTAAGCTACTCTATTTATTGGTCTATCTGGCATGTCTTCACACTTTATCGTGAATGAAGCTTGAGCTTAAGTCATTGTGTGGAATTACATTTGATGTTAACAGCTCATTTCCCTTTTTTTAACTTTGTGGATGTTATTGTTAAAGGTGGCCTGTAATACACACTGGTTCGATTTCTGATTCTACCTCGCGCCGCAGGCTAAGTGAATACCACCGACTATTACTTATGGTAAATAGAACGTAAAAACTACTCAAAAAAGCTCAGTTTACTTTTCTCTAGGTAACTACTTCGCATCTTTCCATTACCTTTCTGAGAAATCACGTATTTGGTAAGGTTGGTAGTTCTATTGAGTTTAACAGAGTAATACTGATTAAATAAAAAAGAATAGAGCTCTCGGCGTTGGTTAATCCTTTCGAAATGCGCCATGCATTCAACTTCATTAGGCATCGTTGGAGGTGATTGAATGCATATCCGGCCTTTACAATGACTCGCGGTGGCCTACCGATGCATCGAGCCAGTGCTGCTATCCTCCCAGACAAGTCTGGTAGCAATTTGCCGAGCCCAGAGGTATGGAAGGCTGCGTGAACTTGGCGCGCTGGGTTCGATCCCATGTGTACTCCAGGGCTCCACTGGCCACCTGGCCGCACGCACCCCATAGGTTAGAATAGCAAAAATTGCGGTATTATGATTACATGGGTGAGGAAAATATTCTTCCCATTGGATACCAGAGACTGTTGGACAATTCAAGAAACACTTTTCGAATTACTTAGCGAAATCCTCTCTGTACCCAGTTATCAACAAGTTTACATTTATCCTATTTAAATGTCGTTGTCCTATCCTACGTTGTCACCCACTCATTCTCCATTTTGTCATCTCCCCAGATTCCAAGAGACTCCTCATGCAATTTTCCCATGAGATTTTTGTATCTAGCATTTACTTATAGTCCTCTGCTTCATACATTTGACTTAAATAATGTGTACTCTGCATACCTGTATCTGAATTCAAACCTTTTAAAATGCTTCCAGCACATTTTCACCAAATTTAAACCCATAGCACTGCTCCATTATTCTATGTCAAGTAAAAAACAATTCAGTTCGATCGAGTTATACATCGTCTTTACGCCAATCCTGGGCGCGTTTTTTCGATCCAAGTCATCGATCGCCTCTTTCAACGCCTTTACTGGGCACTTCGAACCGTACAGTTCAAAATTTTCTACAAAAACGAAGGTAATAAATTTCACACCTTTCCATTCCATAATCTCCTTATTCAGTTCCTGTTGGGTTTTTCTTGTTGCGGCCTCAAGGTTTGGGTCGACAAATTGCAAGATCCCTGTCGCTTTCAAATTGGAGAAAATATTTCTGCTTCATAATTACCGGCGACTGCATTTGTTCGTCACCCCCTTCGCTTTAGCAAGTTCTGGGAGTGTACCGCTCCACCAGTATGCAACATGTCAGAGGATATATTATTGAACTGACGGACCAAGATCGCTCCATGACACGCCAAGGAGGCATCCTTTGAGAATGTGCAGCTAACGCCAGCCTCTTCAGGTGACGACTTCCATGTTATTTGCGATGCCACAGGCCGCATCAAATACTATTATCGCTTTTCAAGATACTTGGAACAAAAAAGCTATCATATGGACCGTAGAGCATTTAGTATTGACACTGTCGTGCAACCATCCGTTAACCATCTTCTTTATTAGAATGGAATGAGATAGAAAACAGTTCGGTACATCGGTAAGCCTAATAAGCCATTCTGTACGATAAATATTGATCCAACCATTTCTACGATCTTGATGGAGACGAACACATAGCGCGTCTTCAAAAAATGGATCAACGCCGAATGCTTGACCTTTTCATCCTCTATCACTAGCTAATCCTCCCGACAGTTTACCGCCTCATCGTTGCTGGGAGGTGGTGTTCTTGGGTGTCGGGCTACAATGTACAGTGGGCGATTCATTACCCCACTAGGGTCTGAGAAGGAGTCCGGCGTTTCCATGATGAAGCCTAGCTAGGAGTAAACCAATATCAATCTCAGGATCCACCACTGCCCTGTATCAAACTAGTCGCACGGTGACAAATCTCCCTGTTATCCATAAGGACGGCGGCTGCCTGTGGTGGTGACGACCTAGAGCAGACTTTGGCCAGGCTGAACTCGGAACTCCAGGGAAACACAATGGCTAAACCAGAAAAACTCCGAAGAATGGAGAGTATGCTGGGGTCCACACAACCAGTGAAGATGGGGCAAGCAAATATCAATAACTAATATTCATCAAATACAGAAGTTCGTGATAAAGAGGTCGATACGTGGTACGAAGACCTCGAAGAATTCGTCGCAACGAAATATGTCCATACAAATTTTTTAGGAGCGATTTCAGAGAAAGGAGGAACCGTACAGGATCAGGAGTACAGAAAATAAGGATCAGGATATTGCAATGGAAATTAGGGATCGTTTTGCAGGACTATCCTCTGCGGTTTGCCTTTTGTAAGGAAACTCTTTTTTCAAGAGAAATGCCCATCACCGTTAGTGACAGAAACCAAGACGTAGGCGACAATAACATTGAAGTGCATTCGAAGATAATCAAATCGGCCACCAATAAGGCCTCCAAGAAGACACGGCAACGTATTCGTCACCGTGAACCAGCACGAATATGGACAAATCAACTCCGAAATCCTCAAGTCGCAACTGAACACCTACACAGGTATGACCATCTCCAGAACGACGACTGTAAAACAAAAGGAAAAACCTGTAGAACATGTGCAAATTGATCAACGAATGTTCTAAGTAGTTATAAGTTTTCTCATTGTTCAGAGCTGGATCAAAGTGATTTGATTGACCGCTGGGAGATTGGAATCCAGCCACCGTCTCTTGATGAACTGGCCACAAGAACACACTTCAATCGCAGATGGCTGAAATATATGTACGCGAGATTTAAAAATGTAAGAACTTAAACAACAGTTTTCTTTCCGGGGGTTCAAATGTGCATAGTGCAGTTGCGCAAAATATTTCACACCAGCCAGGGCACATTCCTTTTCTTAGACGCTAATCTCATCTTGTCTCGTCGATACTGATGGGTGTAGAAATATTCCAATGGCATGGAACGAGCAAACAATAAATATGTACGATAAGATAATTCGATGTTTTTCTTCAATATGCAGACATGAAGTTGTCATTATAGAATTTATTAGGATACAACAGCTGATGTTTCGGCGGTTTCGCCTTCCTCAGAGCCTGGAAAGGTCAAATCGAGATGTGATCTACTCAACCAAACACTTTCATAGCTCCAGCAGATAAAACTTAACGAATAAATTTGCATTCGCATAAGAAACAGCTTCACTTAAACACCTACCGTTTATTTGTTGTAAGTATTTAAGTTAGTTGGTGGATAGCAGCCTCACAGAGTACAAGTAATACAAGTAACACACAAGTAATAAATGGGCGAGGGCTGTGTCTGTGTCAGATCATTGAATCAGCCTAAGGTATGGCGCCAGGTTACGCGTGATCACAAGACACTCCTCCTTGTAGTTCATCTTTGAATTTTTTGAATTGATCCAAAACGCTTCAAGAGTTTTACGCGCTGATGTTTTCGATTCGTGCGTGGGGATAAGACTCCTATTTCAAAATCTTCTCCGTTGTGTTCCTACAAGAGGAATGGAGCCTTGTTTTCGCTAGAATTATCGCTCTGGGGCGTGTGTTTTCCTCTATGCCTACGCCAAGAAGCTACAGTTTGGTCACCATTTGAAATGGCTATTTGACGCGCCAGTTTCGAGGATTCTTCCCTCTGATCTCTACCTGTGCACACGCTGGCCGCAGTTCGAAACATATTTCTTACAAGCGCGCTTTTAGTGTGTGAGGGATGAGAGGAGAGGTAATGAACCACTATATTTTTACTGCTCGGCTTTCGATACCATTTTGTGCTGTAGTCGTTTTCGAATAGGTTGATTTGAACGTTTAGAAATGGAAGCAAGTTTTTTTTCGGTTTCTCACGAGTGAATTTTATGTATTCTGACTGTTCGTTCCCTCTCAAAGCATTCGTCCATCTCCTCTTGAGTGGAGCAGATGACAAAACAATCATCTATATACCTACAGTAGAGTAACGGCCTGAGATCGATTACTGGTGCTTCTACTTTAGACATAAAGGCCACGGTAAGAGTTGGTGCCAGTCGCTGTCCCTGCCAACCCTCTAATTTGGGCGTAATATTTCCCAGACTATCTGAGGATTGAGCAGTTTAAACAGACCTTTAGGAGGACCATAAGCTGCTGAATCGAAAATCCATACATATTAATTGCTTCTTCGTGTTGCTCAAGAAGCTCACGACAAGATTGTTTCCAATCTTAGTGTTGAACAAAACCTATACCTTGCTTAAGGTCACTAGAAACCATAACAATCTATTGCTTCCAAATTTGCAAAACTCCGGACCGTAGGTAGGTGTCTGCACTGGGCAACGCGAGCGCCATTACCCTTTCCGGGGCATAACGCGCTCACCACCACACCATGCGTGTCCTTCGTTTTGCCTTTCTTTCAGCTAGTTTTCCATCTACCAGTCATCCCCTCAGCAGTCAACGGGATTGGTCTGAGGAGCACAAATCGGCATTGAACCCGGATAAGCTGTGGAAAACGGGTGATTGCTGGTGGCACTGGTAGATAGAAAACTAACTGAGGGAAAGGCGAGACGAATGACTGGCATGGTCTGGTGGTGAACGTGTTAGCCCCCGGAAGGGGAAATAGCGTGTTTGATTCCCACCACGGACACCTTCGGTTCGAAGTTTTGCAAATATCTTATACGTGGTATGAGGATATCGAAGAACTCCTCAGCAGTCAATCCATCTACCAGTCCCCTCAGCAGTCAACATTATTGACCTCTAGAGCACAACTCGGCATCGAACCCTCATAATGTTAACTTCTTCATTTGCTGCCTATTACAATTTTTCACGGCAGGTCTAGCAAAGATCTCAGCATTGTCGTGGTTGTATTTCACACAATACCCTGCCGTGAAAAAGTCTTATTATAGAGAAAAAAGCGGGTGCTCTCACCAAGTGCGGGCTTCTGTCCGTAGTGTGGTACTACACCACATCCAACTACACATTGCATCTCCATGAGGCGTTAAAACGTTCTTTAATCAAAATTGTTGGGACAGGTATGTCCATCAGGACGAATGAGGGAGAAGGAGTTCCAACAAGTCCTCGCCTCAATTATCGCTTCAGAAAGAGCCAATGACCAGTATATCTCACGTGTTTTTCTTGCTTTCTCAAATGGCGACAAAAGCATAGTTACATTCAAGGTTGGTGGACGACATTGATATTTTAATGACAATATGTTTACCGTCCATTTTTTCAGAATCTCATTGAATGTCTGTCTCTTATCCAACCATACACGGCCGAGACAAACGCTTTATGGACGATACGCACTATCACAGGACGTCAAGCAGACAAATTTACATTTCCGGTCAGTTACTGCTGACATAGGACATAAACACCTAAATTGAGCGGATGAAACATTGCGTAAATACGACGCAAAGGGATTCCTTACCCATAAGAATTCACCCAATCTTTCAATTAAATGCTGATTTTACTTCTGTTTCACTTAGTTCTTAAAACGCAAGGACTGAAAATAATTTCCAGGAGTTCTTGTCTTTCACGCAAGCTGTGTTTGGTCTGAATGAAGGGGAAGAAAGTGAACAGGAGAATATCAATAAGGAAACAGTCCACTACCGTGCTAGCACAATTTTCAATGTGAGCCTCGCAACACCATGTTAAGTACACAACGCTGTAACCTATTAAGATCTTTAACAACAGGAGCTCGACAGTAACGGTGACGGTTTCGTTACAACAGACGATATGATAAGACTTTTCAAGGCAAGTCATTTTCTAACCACTGTCGCAATTACTGCTTTTTTCTAAAATGACCATTTAGTACGATACAACCACAACGATGCTGAGATATAACTTCAATGATACTGAGATATTTGCAAAACTCCGGACCGCAGGTGTCTACGGTGGAGAGCGAACGCGCTATTACCCTTTCCAGGGTCTAACGCGTTCACCATCACACCATCTCGGTCTTTCGTTTCGCCTGTCCTCAGCTAGTTTTCTATATATCAATGCCATCAGCAATCACCCGTCAAAAGGATAGAAGTAACATAATATAATACGAAAGTAACAGTGTTTACTAGGTTCAAAAAAAACCTAAGCGTTTGGCTTAAGAGTCTAATGAAGGCCGATACTCGTTGTTTCTGAGTTTCTTAACCAAATTTTCTCGAGAATGAAGCGATTTTGTGTAAAAGGTGATAACAACCTTCAGACACATACCCAGATCATTAAATCCTGTGCTCCCTAGATCAATCCTGTTCACGGATGATGGCGGATAGCACTGACCGATAGAAAATTAGCTGAGAGACAGGCCAAACGAAGGACCCCCATAATGTGGTGGTGAACGCGTTAGCCCCCGAAAAGGGTAATAGCGCCTTCGTTCCCCAGTGCAGACACATGCGGTCCCGACTTTTACAAATATCTCAGCATCACTATAGTTGTATCACACATAATACTTGATACTTGATATTCGAACGGCCCATAATCACTAGTTGAGCGGGCCCCAGCATAATCACCATTTATAGGAGATTTGCTGGTTAAGCCATTGTGGTTCCCTGGAATCCCGAGGACAACCTGACCAAAGTTTGCCTTAGGTCCTCACCAGGTCATGCAGCCGCAACTTTTGTGGATCAGAGGGAGATTTTCCACCATGCGACTTTGATACCAGAACGATGATGGATCCTGGCATTGGTTTACTCTCAGCTAGGCTTCCTGACGGAAAAGCCGGAGTCCTTCTCAGCTTGGGAGACCCTGCCAGGAGACGAATCCCTCGCTGTACATCGCAGTCCGACACCCAGGAACACCTTCCAGCCACGATGAGAGAGTAAACCGTTGGGAGAATCACACATAATACCCGTGAAAAATTATAATAGGTAATAAATATTAAAACTAATCGTTTAATTTTAGAAAAGTTTTTTTTCACTTACAGTCACACGAAAATCGTCAAATCAAGTCAACTACTAACAACGGATGACTGACAAACACAACTGTGAAGTATTTGTATACGAAGTTTACTCTGTTTACCAAATACGCATACTAACTATACTGTGTGGTTGTAAAACACTGAAAAAGTATGAATAAAATCTAGTAATGATCTGTTTCCAGGCCTCAACACAAGGCACTAGAGCACAATATTGCCCAATGTTTTAAGGAGCAATAACCCCTTTTATGTCTATTCCATTTATATCGAATTTATCTATTTATACAAAAGGCAGAGTTCAAATAATTCAACTTGAAAAAAAAAACTATACACGTATAAGTTCTCTCCAACGTTCCTCACCGAAAAAAATATTCAAAAAATGAAGGAAGATGGACCAAATACAATCTTTTTACAGCGAAAAAAGTACAAACATATTTAAAATAGAGATAAATTAGACTTTGATAACAGCGCATATTTCCAATGTTACCGACAACGTGGTGCGGAAGTAAAGACCGAAACAATGTTAACCAAAGGGAACATCACGGTAGATCCAATAAACGAACCCACCTGAAAAAAAAGCAAGCTTAATAAATACCACCTAACCTTGGCCATCAGAAGCTAATTTTTCGCAAACTGTGGAGAATTTTTCGACAAGACGGAGTTAATACTCGAAGAGTTAAAAACATGATAGGGGAATGGAAGAGATTTTAGTCCACCTATTTGATGGTAAGTATGGTTCTTTAAAACTGCTGATTTTTAAAGCCATTAAAGACTCAACCCCCTAACGGTTTATCGCCTCGTCGTGGCTGGGAGGTGTTCCTGGGTGTCGGACTGCGATGTACAGTGGGGAGATTCGTCCCCCCGGCAGGATCTCCCAAGTTGAGGAGTCCGGCGTTTTCATCAGGAAACCTAGCTAAGAGTAAACCAACACCAGGACCCATCACCGTCCTGGTATCAAAGTCGCACGGTGGCAAATCTCCATTTGATCCACAAGGGCTGCGACTGCCTGTCGTGGTGACGACCTGGGGCAGACTTTGGCCAGGTTGACCTCGGGACTCCAAGGAACCATAATGGCTTAACCAGCAAATCTCTGAAAAATGGAGATTATGCTGGAGGCCGCACAACCGGTGAGGACGGGTTATTTAAGTATCAAGTAAGTAAAGGCTGAATTTAAATTTCCCGACGCAATGCGAAGGAAACACGAATTTTTAAAAGTCGAAACGAAGTCCGGTAGCTAAAAACACCAATGACGTATTTCAAGACATTATCACGTTTTAATGGACAAAATACCGCTTGTTCAATTAGTTCCACTTCGAAATATGAGCATCAATGAATAAAGTGCACAAAATAAGTCTAATTGGCTCCGAGAAAACCGAACTTCAGCCTGACAAAACGAATTGGATTTCATCCTGTAGGCAGGAATTTGCTAACAATAATTTTCCCCATAGTAATTAATAGAGATCACTTTGCGTGGGAAATTTTGGTTTAAAATTAAAGGCAACCGTCATTTCCGCAATGTTTGAGTGGAAACCGAATCACGTCGGACCTCGAGTGTTAACAACGACACTAAATCATGAACCTAATTCAAAAGAAAGGTCTAAGAAAACAACCTACTTGAATGAATACTCCACACCAGAACAGCCTACTCTCACTTTCTTCACCTTCTCGTAACAATGACGCAAACACGACACGAAGGTAGGAATGAAGACCGGCAGCAAATAGAGCACTTCCAACCTAAATTAATATCTTCTCTGTCAATTACCAAGAGGTAATTAGACAATCTCGTTTATAGATTCATGACGTCGACAAAGTTTAGTTTCAATGATTTTAATACTCATCGAAAACGTGCCAGTTTGCTCCACTGGTTCGATTTTTAAGTGAGGGAGTATTAGAGTCACACACTTTCCCTCTTTGCTTTAAATATTATGACCAATAGATAGCATTCCACTCACCGACAGTACACTCCCAATGGTAACCGAATTGAAGAAGAGATTAGGGCTTAAAGAAGCTAGGTAAACTATGAAGGCGGTGGCACATGATGAGCAGAATGTCAAACAACACAGACTAGGCACTGATCTATAAAAAAAATTCTTAAAAAAAAAGCATGGATAATCGAGGTCAAATCATAAGAGAAAATTTTCTGTACAAGAAAGAAAAAAAAAGCAGAAACCAAAGAAGCACTTTTTCTTAGTGTTGAGAGAAATACTCTCAACGTTCTTTTACTAGGAATTAAATAAGACTCACGCAACGACACCTAATCTCTCGACAAAATCCAATCCTCAGGCTTTATATACTTGCTGGTTTTTCGAAAGCAAACAATAATTTTTCAATAACTACAGGGTTTCGTGAGTTGCGAACATGAAAGGGCGGTGAAAAGCTCTTCGTTCTATTGTTTTGTGGGTAATAATAAAAAAGGATAAAGCTCTCGGCGATGATCAATCCCTGAAGAATGCGCCACGCATTCGACTTCATTAAGCATCGTTGGAGGTGACTGAATACATACTTGGCCTTTATAATGACTGGCGGTGGCCTGCCGATGTTTCGAGTCATTGTTGCTACCCTCTAAGATAAATCTGACACCAACCTGTCGACCCCTGAGGGATGGAAAGCTCGGTGGGCCTTGGTACGCGGATCGACCCCACGTGTATTGCACGGTACCTCCGACAACTGCACCACATGCGCCCTTTCGCGGTTAATAGCCACAGAACGCGCGGTCTAGGCAAGAGAAATGAGATACGAAGAATATGTATGGTGAACACATTAGCCCCCGGAGAAGATAGTAACGAGGTTCGATCCTAACCGCAGACACCTGCGGTCTGGACTTTTGCAAATATCTCAGCACCATTGCAGTTGTCTTTCACATCATACCCTGCCATGAAAAAGAATAGGCAGTAAATAAAAAGTAATTACCTTGTCTATTGTTGAAGGGGAATGCTAGAAACCCAAACCACTAAATACTTAGAAGCAAAACCCAAATTCTCAGAAGTTTTCTCTTCAAAGCAACCCCGAGGATTAAAGGAGTATTTAGAGAAAACATTGCAGCATGCTGTGTGGAATCTCGCCCGCTCAATATCTTCAGTTTTCCGAATAAAAACCTCAATTAAAGAAAACACTGAAGAAGAATGTTTCCGGGCTCCAAAAGCAAAAAATCGCATTGCTGCAAAGCCAGAGAACCGGCGTTGTTGGTAAAAATGAGTAGATTCGATGAAGTCCAAAAAAGCTAATATTCAAGGTAAAGTATACATCAAAACCAAGAATTCTGCAGGTATTAAAGTAAAACTGGTAGGTGATAATGAACTAGAACAGAAAAGGTAGCCTACCTCACAGTAAGGATTAGTGGTAAAAACGACATGGCTGGTGATACCAAGTTTGCCAGAGTTAGTCCATAATGATATGTTGCCTGAAGTGAAAGACAAAGGCACATTAACCCTGTGACTTCTACAAGTTAGGAGGTTAGACAACTAAAAAAGTGATTAAAATATTTAACGAAAAAATATGATCTTGTTTATGGAAAAGCATTCACCTGAGAATAAGGCAGAGCTGCATAACTCTGAGCGCTAGGTATCACACCGTTCATTTGCGCGTTAACAAGAGCGGTAGCGATAAGGACAATTATGTAGCCAGGCTTACTGATACCTGATGAAGTTTTCTTCGGATTCACTGTTGTAACCTAAATACTAGGCCATACTAACAAACACATCAAGGATGGAATAAAGAGAAGATAATACAATATAGAAACGACAGAATACCAACTTCTTCACTCATTTCTGCGACCTCCGAGACACTTTCGAAAGCTTTCGATTTGAACTCGTTCAGAGGAGTTCCTTCATGTCCGCGATCTTCATATTCTGCATTCTCGCTAAAAATACTGTTAAGTCACAATGTTAACCTTTTATTTGCTACCTACTACAAATTTTCACAGCAGAGTATGATGTGAAATGCAACCACAACGATGCTGAGATATTTGCAAAACATCTACCGCAGGTCAGATCGAACCATGATTAACCTTTCCGGGGACTCGCGTATTACACAATGCATCATGGAGACCCATGATCTGCGTTTCTTTCAGCTCGTTTCCTACCCAACGCTGAATTTGTGGTCCCAGATCAACCCAGCTGACGGATGATTACTGATGGTATCGTTAGATACAATAGAAAACTAGCTCAGAGAAACACAGAGCGAGCGCCTCAGTAGTTCAGTGTGTACTACGCGACCTCTTAAAAGGGTAATCGCGGTTCGACTTGACACGGATCTAAGTCTTGCGAATAACTCAGCGGTGATGAGCCAATCTCACATCGTACGAGCTATGTGAGAAAACAGGACAACTAGAAGAAAAGCACGTACATTTTCTCTTCATCACATCTGCACAAAATTTCGAATGAGACCGTTGATACAACAGTCCAAATGAAAATAACAAAGAAGAATGACGACGCACTGAAACGTGGAGGAGAAAATACTGGAGTCACACCTTCGCATTCATAATTTCCAGCTCCTAAATACAGAACTCAACGAACCGTACAGTGCACAGCGTTGATGAAAACTACACATACCTTGAATAAGTGATAAAAGACTAGGGATAAGTGAACTGAAACCCATGCCGACGAAGTAAGCATTAAGATAGGCATGGTGGAATTGTGCCATAAACGGCATAAACAGAACATTAGATGTTGCATTGACCAGCGCTAATCCGAAGAGCAACAGGTATAGCGCGATAGAGTACTCACTGTTCTTGATTGGTATTGTCCACCACCACATAACTACCAGACCTACACAAGCCAATGTGTAAAAAAACCAAAGGCTTAAGAAAGAGAAGAATCAACTGAAAAAGACGTTAAGAAGCATTAAAATATTAGGCAAGTTGCTCACCGAATTGACAAGTACAAGAAAGGATTAGAAATGCAATTATGAGATATTTGGTAGGAATAATTATCGACTTGAAACCCTTGTGAAATATGCTGTACACCAGAGGACCAACGCAGGCTACCTGGATAAGATTTATTTTATTGCCACTCAAGGGTTTATATTAAAATCAACACATAGCTAGGTCAGAAATGGGAAATCAAGGAACCAAGGAAGAAATGGAAATACAAATAGCAATACAGAACCATACACCTGTACTACTGCCGCGAGGAAACTCGGTAGGCCCCATCCTTCCGGCAGATCAGCTGTGAGAAGAGGAAGCTGCATCCAAACTGAATTCGTTCCTATCCATGAAACTGATCCAAATATAACTACCAAAATGAAGACACCTTTTGACGGCATAGCCTGAAACTCGGTACGCTCGATTTAAAACCATTTATCTAAAATTAGAAAACAGTGTATGAACGGTGGACAAAAAACAATGGCAGAGAATGAATCAATAACGGAGATTTACTGAAAAAAGGAAGTGTAACGAACTGTACAGGTGGCTGAATACTAGCGAGTGTTGCAAGAGCACTGTGCTTCTGCGATAATCACTTCGCATGAGCGCAACACCTTAAATCAGGTCGTAGATGAACGCGATTTCTACTTCATAACTTGCGTTTTCGTCACACAGATAGCACTCATTTTAAGAACATTCGGCGCATGTAGCGCAGTGCTCGGTTGCACCCTCCAATACGCATTAGATCGATCCCCATACCCCCAGGGCCACCAAGTTCTCCATCTCTGCTAGGTCGGCAAATTGGTACCAGATTTGTCTGGGAAGATAGCAGCACTAATTCAATACATCGCTAGACCATCGCGAGTCATTGTAAAGGTTAAATATGCATCCATTCACCTCCAACGATGCCTTACAAAGTCGAATTCATGGCGCATCCCCAAGGAATAGATCAACCCCGAAAGATTTCTCTTTATCCCTTGCTCACTGTAAGAACAATGCTGTTTTCGCCTTCTGTAAGTCCTATTGCTCAAAAATAAGAATAAGCCATTCATCATACAGTACCGCGATAGAGCTAAACATTCGCCGTAACTACCTATGCCACTGTACTGCACACTTTGTTCTAATTATTTTTCGGTCACAATACAGTTTATACAATTTCGCCCATAACGCGAGCTCAGATTCAAAAAAGAACAGTGATGGACGAAAGATGGGCTTTCAAAGCTACCCGATACGGTTAACCACACTGACGTCACGGAAGTCGTACGAGATAAATCTAACGAAGGATAAAGCTCTCGGCGTTGATCAATCCCTGAGGGATGCGCCATGCACTCGACTTCACTAAGCATCGTTGGAGGTGATTGAATGCATATCCGGCCTTTACAGTGACTCGCGGTGGCCTGCCGATGTACCGAGGCAGTGCTGCTATCCTCCCAAACAAGTTTGGTATCAATTTGCCGACCCCGGAGAGATGGAAGGCTTGGTGTGCCATGAGAGCGGGGATCGAATCAAGGTATGTGTCGCAGTGACGCCTCCAATCACTGAGCCACACGCGCCGTAAGTTTGAGAAATGGAACTTATTGTGATAAACTGAAGACAAAATAGTGAAGGTCAACTGCCGGTAACTCCACCAAATTCACTTTGAAACCGTAGCACTGTTTAATCGATGTAAGAGAGCAAAAAGGACTAGTGATAAGTGCAATTTGTGGTTACAATGGAAAATGTGATGTGTATTGTAAAAGGATGCATGCGACTGTTGGCATGACACGGAAGAGTATAACGTGGAAGCACAACATACCATGGCATTGGATAAGAACTGTTCAGATGTATGAACACAGAAACAGAGGAAGTTAAACAGGTGTAATGATTATCCCATCTTCCAACTATGGTTGTGACAGATTCTTGCAAAAAAGTGCTTCATCTACAATCTAGGCAAGCGAGACGATTAAATGGAAGCAAACGGGACTGCTGTGCGACGACCGTCAATGCAAATCTAATGATAAGATAGCAAAAGACAGATATTTGAAGGCAACGAAGGTGGTGAAGAGGCAAACAAGGCGTTAGAGATAGCGTGATTTCCACTGGCCTTAACTTCCTACACAGAGAGAATTTGTAAGCGCTAATCTATAAGTTCGTCCTTTGGTTTGCTTAAAATCAATACATGAAAATTTTTATTCGAGATAGAATTTCTAGCAATGGCATTTTTTTCGATGACTTCCTGTTAACTTTCTATAAACTGCAAGATCCTTCCTTCATTAGATTTTAGAATTTCTAGGAAATGTACGTATGATTTGAGCAGACACCCAGAGAACTAAAACTCACACATGTCACCCGTCAACGGGATTGATCTGGGGAGCCCAAATCGGCATTGAACCCAGTTATGAATGCTGATGGTAAAAAGATCGATAGACCTAGCTGAGAGACAGGCAAGACGAAGGACCCGGATGGTGTGGTGGTGAAGTGCGCTGCTCTCCGGTAAGGACAACAGCGCGTGTTCGTTCCCTACTGCATACATCTGCGGTCCGGAGTTTTGCAAATATCTCAGCATTTTATACGAGTCATATTTCGGAACATACCCTGCCGTTAAGAAGAAAAAGGCAGTAAATAAAAGGGTTAAGATTTAAAACTCACACCATTTACAGCGTTCTTCAAAGGCTTGGGTAGGTTGTAATGCGAAGGCTTGGGCGATAAGATGAAACAACCAGCACACTCCAGTGAAGTTCTAGAATTTTTTCCGACTTTCCAATGGGTATGTTATCGTGGTGAAACACAATGACTTCCTACTCATTAATCCTTCTTCATTTATGAGCAACCAATAATTAACGAGCTGACAGTAGGTTTCCCTGCAGCAACTAACAGCATAAGATTGCCTTTCAGTACCAATAAGAGCTCTACATGACACACTCCGCATAGTACCTGGGTTTTCACGTGGTTACGGAGACTTTACAGTTCTTAAACCAGAACTATTTCGGCTCGATGTTGTTTTATGCGATCCACGTTTTATCGACCGCAATTACCTCCAGAAATGGCCCGACTAACTACCCCTGAGAAAAAATGGCAAACATTCCGAAGAACTTATGTCCCACAAATTCAGTAGGCTTGCTGACCAATGTAAGCTATCGTAATCATCTCGAAACGAATTCCTGGCCACTTGCGAATTTCTGCGGTTGTCCGCCCGAGTGGTTCGTTGTCGTTGGTCTCCAATCTTACTTTATACTTGAACGGCCCATCCTCACTGGTTGTGCGGGCCGCACCATAATCTCCACTTTTCGGAGATTTGATGGTTAAGCCATTGTAGTTCCCTGGAATCTCAAGGTCAGCTTGGCCAAAGTCTGCTCCAGGTCTTCACCACCACAGGTAGTCGCAGCCCTTGTGGATCAGAAGGAGATTTGCCACCATACGACCTTGAAACCAGGACGGTAGTGGATCCTGGTATTGGTTTACTCTTAGCTAGGGTTCCTGATGGAAACGCCGGACTCCTTCTCAGCTTAAGAGACCCTGCCAGGGAATGTATCCCTCGCTGCACATCCCAGTCCGAAACCCAAGAACATCTCCCAGCCACGATGAGGCGTTAAACCGTTGGGAGGGTCTCTAATCACAGTGCGGAATTGTTGTTTTGAAGGCGATTGGCATCACTGAGCATAAGATCTGTTTTCAAATGCTTGTAGAAACACGTCAAGTTGGTAAATTAAATAAATAAATGAAGTTGATGGAACGATAACGACGCTGCGATATTTGTAAAACTCCAGATAGCAGTTGCCTGCTGTAGGGAACGAACGTGCCATTACCTTTTCCCGGGTGCTAACCGGTTCACAATCACACCATGTGTCTCATTCGTTTCGCCTGTCTCTCAGTTAGTTTTCTATCTACCAATGCCATCAGTAATCACCCGTCGACGGGATTAATCTGGAGAGCACAAATCAGCATTAAACCCAGTTAAGCTTAGGCTGTAGTTTAAAACGATCTCAGATCAATCCCGCTGATGGGTGATTGCTGATGGTAGAGATCGATAGAACTATATGAGAGACATGCGAAACGAAGGACACGCATGGTGTGGTGGAGAACCCGTTAGCTCCCAGAAAGGGTAATAGTGCGTTCGTTCCCCACCATAGCCACGTAGGGTCCCGAGTTTTGCAAATATCTCAACATCATTATGGTTGTATGTCACATAATATCCTACCGTGAAAAGTTGTAGTATGCAGCAAATAAAAAGTTAAGAAGTTGATAAAATTTGTGCTGACGCCGACAAGTGCTGGAAACGGCACTTTTGCATTAGCCTAACTGAAACAATCATAACATTCACAATAGTCAAAGTAACTATTACAAGAGAAAATGTACTAAAATGACGTTAACCTAAACCAGTATTTCAGCAAGTCCTTGAGGCAAAATGGCACCACAGCGCATGATGAGATGTACTATCTAGAAGGATCGTCGAACCGGTCTCCTTCATGAAAAAGATTTCAGGATGGTTCGCATGTATTCCAATTGCATTCTGCATACAAATTTCGTTTCGCCAAATACCATAAAGTGAGTAGAAATTACGTAGGGAAGAATCCTAGATCAGCTGTAACAGTTAACCCCACTATTTCGTATTTCGACATGGTCTAACATGCCCAGTCGTGGTTAAACCTCGCCGAGGAAAACAGACATAGGCCCTTATTCTCCTTACCTCGAAAAATTCCCTGACACAAGTGATGAGTACGCAAAGACTGTTAAAATTTATGGAGCACTCCGGACCACCAAAATGCTTAAGTGCTAATGTAATGATCTAAATATGTAATGGAAACATGAAAACGTTTGAAAAGTTTCGTCCACGACCTGGACATGCAAAGCAAAGAAAAAAAGTACAACACCATCGGACTGTATAAGACGAGAAAACACGACTCAATAAACGCCATCCGTGCTCCTATAAAAAAGCTGATCGAGTTCATATCAGCTCACGTCGACTGTGACCGCGCCCGGTTGCCAATAATCCCACAGACCCTATTCCCGACAATGAACACAGTTTGTTGACAGCAACATAAATAAGTTAAGAACGTTCAACTGAACGTTCTCCTCAAATGATGTCACGAACTAAGGTTGGTCAAGGTACCACACCTTCGGCTCTGTCTATCATCTAACTCTTTACTAGTTATTCGTAAAAGGATTAGTAGAACACGGAGTGAATAACTACAATGCGAGCGCTAGCACAAATTTTATAGTTCCAACGATAGGCATCGTGTACACATTCTTAGGAAGTTTAACGACATGTCATGAACGTATGTGCCACCATTTCGCCACAAAGCCACAAACCTTTTTAAAAACGCCGGGCTACCAAGCGGTTACTCTACGAGATGAGTCGGAACCGATTTCAATCGCGGTTTTAGAAAGCACGATGTTCGCTTGAAGTTGAAGAGAACGATGTTCACGATAAATAGACTCATTCTTAACGCTCCCCAGATGCTAAGTCGAATTGATAGCCTTAAATGCTCGTGTTGTGCACACTTTAGTCGTGAAGTAAACATGATCAATGACAGCTTCCGAGCCGACCAGAGGTAAACGAACGACCTGGTAGCTCACATACAAAGAAGATTAGCGCTTTCCTAAGACATCATTCGCAAATGAACACCTGTTGCTCAACAGGATATCAAAAGACCGGTGAATATGACAAGCCTCAATCCTCACGTTACAAAGCATTACAAAGAACAACTCCCCCTAATTACACGGTTGAAGACCCTGCTCACATATTTGAATCACTCAGTAGGTGATGCGATCTCAACGGTTTCGCGCCTCATCGTGACTTGTTGGCGTTCCTGGGTGTCGGGCTGCGATGTACAGCGAGGGAATCCATCTCCGCGGCAGGTTCTCCTAAGCTGAGAATGAGTCCGGCATTTTCACCAGGAAGCCCAGCCAAGAGTAAACCAATACCAGGATCCACAACAATCTTTGTATCCAACTAATCACATAATGGCAAATCTCCCTCTAATCCACAAGGGGTGCTACTGCGTGTGGTGGCGGCGACCTTGTTCAGACTTTTGGCAGGCTGACCTTAGGGCTTCAGAGAAACACAATGGCCAAACCAGCAAAACTTCGAAAAATGGAGAATACACTGGGACCCGCACAACCACTGATGACCGGCCGTCCAAGTATCGAAGTGAGTAGGCGATGTGCAATGTCACTGGACTAATTAAAGGCAAAGTTATCAAAACAACACCCCAGCATTATGACTCTCCTGGTAAACTCTCGCGGAAAGTAGATTACATAAAATGTAGTTCAACAGCTCTCTCCCAGAAGCTACTATATATACAACCTAGTTCATCTTCTTACGAAAACAATAACTACTTGTAGGCTAGACCCTTGCAACCAGCATTCCACTCACCTAAAGAGAGGGGATTATAGTCACTACATGGACGCTCGCGACTCATGAATGTTAGCAGAGATGTACTCGTGGACGAGATTCTGCGTCCCATTCACTCCATTTCTCCGTTCGCGAGTGATAGTTCCCACCTAGACCTTCGAATTTGAAATATGCCGTGATCTTCCATCCACTGATACAACAAGAAATCCCAACAAACCTGAACGTCACAGTAGATTTACCCGGGTAACTCCGAGCCAGCATCATTTTCAAACAAGGCGCACTTTAAAGGACGCGAGACATGGTAGCAGTGCTGGCCACAGAGATTAACCTTGGGTCCCTCACAAGGCGCCAGTGACTGGCGGTCGTTTGTCTCAGATTGTTCAGCGCCACTTTAACCCATCTTTGTAGTCGAAAGAAAATGGAAGGCACTCACTTATTTTATCTCTAAGAGCGGACAGCTCTAGGCAATCAATACTTTCTTGGACTATTGGGCTGACACCAATGAAAACGATGGTCATAGTAATCCAAAAAAGTATTGGTCACTTACATTTTGTGTAGAACGTCCTTGCCATTCACTTAGATCAGAAACCTTTAGCTACAATAGCTGGTGGCTTCTCACTGTCGTTCAACCCTGCTATGAGTCTGGTCGTCTGTTTGTGGAGTTGTTCAACATCAGTTGTCTCACTATTTGTCTTTTTGCTTGTGTTTTATCCAACTCGGTTTATGCTTTTCGACAAGCATGTGTTTAATAAAGCCAACGGATACAAAAACTGTTGAAGCTGTGACTTCTAGCTATAAGGTAGTGTATTATTTCAGGGATATTCGTTCACATTATGTTCGGGTATGAGTGACTTCTCTCGATACTCACGTAACCCTATTGAATAGAGTTTGGCGTCTGTTAATCCTGTATCCATATATCTTGATTGATTTCTAAACACTTGTCTGTGATAACGGCAACTTCTTTTCCAGGTGGCGATGGTGCTGAGTAAGGTGCTCGGTGGGGCCAAGTGGACGGCTGAAACTGTTGTCGGAGCTGTTCGGGCCGTTGCTAATACTAAGGATCCCATTCCTCCTACGGATTTGCACCCACGTATGCCTGCTCGGCCATGGACTGCCCAGGAATATGTAAGTATTCTCTTCAACCTTTAAGTGTTTTGCTTAGGGGTTATTACAAATCTGGCTTTTTCGCAAGAGACTTTTGTATTTCTTGAGTTAAACTGTGGGCTGGCGTATCCCACTGCACTCTATATTTTTTTTTGCTTATGTTTTACGTATATATTCCTGGTTTCTAATCCTTCCTGTTAATATAATGAGATGCCACATGGAGTGTTTTGTTGATTATTCCATTCCTTAATGATGCTGAGATATTTGCAAAACTCCGGGCCACAGGTGTCTGCGGTGATGAGCACACGCGCTATTTTCTTTTCCGAGGGCTAACGTCTCCACCGCCACACCATGCGAGTCCTTAGTTTCGTCTGTCTCTCATTCCATTCCTTATTTTATTTTCCTATGCTTCAGCTACGTATGTGGTCGTGGCGTCATTGCTGGAAGTACATGCCTGTGTTCCGCTTCTATATTTTTTCCGGCATTATTGTTTTTGCATTCTTCAAATTCGTCGTACCACGTAAGTCTTTGTTTTGTTTGTATATTAGCACCAGCATGTGTTTTTAGGCTTTGGTTCTTAATCGGCAAGTTTTCATGTCAACCTCAAAATTTACTATGATCTCTCCAGAGTTGATCAGTTTGAGTAGAAGGTCCCTTCTAACGGTTTACTACCTCATCGTGGTTGGGAGGTGTTCTTGGGTGTCGGACTACGATTTACAGCGGGGATTCATTCCACCAGCAGGGTTTCTCAGGCTGTGAAGGGATCCGACGTTTCCATCAGGAAGCCCAGCTAAGAGTAAACCAATGCCAGGATCCACCATCGTCGTGGTATTAGACTAGTAGCAATGGCGACAAATCTCCCTCTGATCCACGAGGGCGGTGATTGCCTGTAGTGGTGACGACTTGCGGCAGACTTTGGCTCGGCTGAACTAGGGACTCCACGGAGCCACAATGGCTAAGCCAGCAAAACTCGGAAAAAATGGAGATTATGCGGGGACCGCGCAACCATTGAAGACGGGCGATCCAAGTAAGTAAGAAGGTCTATAGCTAGGTTTCTGTATTAGTGACTGTTTAGATTTTCCATAACGGTATTGATTTAACTGTAGAGTTCTTATGGTCTTCTCAGTGGACCATTCGTGCCTGTTTGAGATTTATAACCTTATCAGACTATATTTCCTCTCCGAATGGATTAAACCTATTCATTTCACTCATCGACTTCCTACATCTGAATTTTAATGCTACTTTTTTGCTTTATGGTGATACTTTTATGATGATTAGATCACGATGCTAATGCTTACGTCTTTCGGGAATTTAATCACTTCACCCGTACCTATCTGCTGCTATAATTTCCTAAAGTTATATACTTCTTATTGGGAGCGTGTAGCGCTGTAGTTGGAGGCGCACCGCACTACACATGTGAGCGGACCCCATGCTCTAGGTCCACGAAGCTCTTTATCACTCCCAGGTTGGCAAAATGATACCAGACTTGTTTGGGAGGACAGTAGCACTGGTTCGATACATCGCTTGGCCACCGCGAGTCATTGTAAAGGCCAAATATGCATTCAATCACTTCCAACGATGCGTAATGACGCATCCCTCAGGGATTGATCAACACCAAGAGCTTTATCCTTTAGTCTTATATATCTCTGTGGGAGCTTTTGTTTTGGGCCAAGAAGTACTATAGCTTTGACTGTTTTCACTTGTCATCATATAACGGTGTTATGACCACTGTTTGTCAAGGCTTAACTTTACAAAATTGCGAAGCAGTAGAGTGCCACGTATTCCTCCTCTGGTATTATTTCCTAATTTAATTCAAGTTAAATAAGTAATTGGGAAATGACTCGAGCCAGAGACATCTCAGTAGATCTTATGGGAGGAATTTATTCAATATTTAACTCTGTTATTCTCTTCTGATTAATGGAAAGAACATTTTCCATAGTATCATTAGGTAATACCGCAATCATTGCTAATTCTAAGCGCTACAACTCGATAAAATTTAGTAGAACGACCATTCTTCCCGATTACACGATCTATGGAAAAAAGTATGAAGAAGCGGTGCAATCGGTTGTGGAGATGCGTGTACTTTATGCATATATACTTGCTTATTTTATACTTGAATGGCCCGTTCTCAGTGATTGTGCGGGCCCAGCATAATCTCCACTTTTCGGAGATTTGCTAGTTAAGCCATTGTGGATCCCTGGTGTCCCAAGGAGAGCCTGGCCAAAGTTTGCTCACCACCACACGCAGTTGCCGTCCTTGCGCTTCACAGGGAAATTTAACACCATGCAACTAGTTTCATTCCAGGACGGTGGTGGATCCTGGAATTGGTTTACTCTTAACTGGGCTTTCTGATGGAGACGCCGGACTCCTTCTTAGCTTGGGAGACCTTAGTGGAACGAATCTCCCCGCTGTACATCGCAGCGCGACACCCAGGAACACCTCCCAGCCACGATGAGGCGGTAAACCGTTGGGACGATGCATATGTACTAACATAGCTTTATTTGTTTATGTTTTGCAATGGAGATTACTTCGTCAGAGGACCTGTTGTCGTATTGCTCCAACTGCATGTCGAAGCGCGGTATTACGCGGGGTTTAGACTTCAGTAGTTTTACACACGTTGATAAGGAACTCAATATTTACATCTGAAAGTTAGGCTTCGGTTAAACATATGCCAGGTCATACTCAAATGAGCTACCCATGGCTGTCTTCTCGCAGGAAATATTAAAAATTGCATCAAACTCAAATTGTTACTTCTTCCCTTTCCCTTGAGCGGGTCCCAGTATCTAGCAGCTCTCATATTTGACAAAGAAGTTTAGTGATACTCTCTCGTTAGCGGTGTTTTAAGTGTTGCAGGTAAAGTGACTCTAGCGCTGTGTAAACAAGATGCACTTATTTTTAGGCTTAGAAACATACCAGCAGTAGTTTTTACCATTTAAAGTTAACCTTTTGTCTGAGATTGTACCTAGCTGTAAACAGTTATGTAATCGTCACATTATAACTACTATCTTTCCCAACTTATTATTTTAGTCAAACCACGTCATCTTGTCATGTATGGCAGAGCCAGGGCCAATCTTGATCGTCACGAGGTGCATTCTTTCTTACAGCTTTCGTTACCATAGTGCTTCAGAGTATTTTTCGAAACCTGGATTATTGAGGTTTCAAGCATACAATGACCGCTTACGAAAAGCGAGGGTTAGCAGTTTTTGTTCTAGAAAGTTTGGTTAGTTTTATTGGGGCTTTAATCTTAAGAGATGGTAAGTAAGCTGCAAGGTAATTCCGTGTTTAGCAATAATTTTTGGGGAATCTTTAGCCTACTTTTGTCTGCATAATTTTACTGCACCGATTTCACAGCGATGACAACGAGAAGTTTGTTCTATATTGTAGTTGGTGTATTCAGAAATAAGAAAAAGCGCTTGTATGTGGTCTAACTGGGCAAGAAGTTACAATCACATTTGCAAAATAGCTGCATGTATAGGTTCTTGATACCTTGATTAAGTGATATCCATGTTTTCAGGCTGAACACTGGTACGGTGTCCGGCAAAAGAAAGCAGACAAGGAGTATTTTAAGAAGTACAATCCGCTTAAGAAGGAAGGAGAAGTTGAAGTTGGAGGACACTAGATGTGTTGTAGAAGTTAGATTTTAGTCATGTGAATAAAGTCGATTAAATCCACTGCTGACTGTGCAATGTAACGGCCTCGTAAATTATGGTTTTGCTGCATATAGATGGTTTGTGGGCGAGATGTATGAGCGAAAACCCTGAATCTCACTTCATATGTCTTTGTTTGGGCTTATGTATGGAAGTGGCTAGAGGTGCATTGCAATCCGCACAACTTCCCTTCGTTATCTGGTTTAGCCCGCTGTCTAGCTCACCAAGCTTTCCATTTTTCTGGGGCGGCAAGTTGGTACCGAACTTGTCTGGGAGGATAACAACAGGGACATGATATACTGGTAGAGCACCGCGAGTTATTCTTCAGGTGAGGTATAAGTTAGGTCAGCTCTACGACTCTTAACGATCGCGGATACATGGCACATTGCTTGATTGACCAGTTTTCGATTTTCATCCTTTAGGTTTCGTACGATCGTTTAAGCATATTTTCACCTTGTTGGTGATCCTATACTACACTACGACACAATTGTGTTTTAAACGGAAGCTAATATGATTCATTGTTTCCTTGCAAGTATAGTCTTTCATTCTTTAACATGTGGCTTGTCTTGGATGATGGACTATGATGTGACACAGAAGTTTTCTACCACACTTTTTGTAATCTTTCGTTACCTCATCGAAAACGGCGCTTTGTCAAGGGGGTTGAGCCTTAAGAATCGCTCTATATTTGACGGTTCGCAAGGAGACAGATAAGACCATCGGCCGGTGATTTCGCAAACGACTAACTGTAGTTTCATCTTCAATCACCGTGGTGGTTATTGTGGTTACTTTAGGGGATGTGCAAGTATAAAAATACTGAGGCAGTCATAAGGTATGTTGTAGAACACTTCTAAATGCTGACAATATGCTTCTATATACAATAGTATTTTTCTCTATTTTCCACGGCTCCTCCTAACTTCTACTGTTTTACTTCGTATTTTTGTTGAGCAAACGCGAGGTGTTACTATTCTTTGTTCACGATTAAGCTGACGTTTGGGCGGATTTCGCCTTCTTCAGAGCCTGGAAAGGTCAAGTTGATAGCAACTCACTCGGCCAGACGCCTCCATAACCAAACAAAGAAACTCCAAACCAAGATTTCAATCACTTTGAACACAGCTTTGCACACTCACCGCTTTCTATGAGGTTTCCACTAAGTATGTCACGTAGAGACCAACCGCACAGAAATCACGTGGAAGTATAATGTGCCCCTCACATCAGAAAAGCAGTTTTATATACTGCCCTATATCACGCGTGATAATGAGACATTCTTCCCTGCGGTTCATTTTCGGATTTCTGGAATTAATCCAGAGTGCCTCGAGAGTTTTTCGCGCCTGTGTTCTTGATTCGCGTGCGAGGATCGTGACACATACTTCGAAGTCGTCCCCGTTATGTCTCTGGGTCCTATGCGTGCCTAGCGGTGCCTTTCTCCGCCGCTGTCTAAAACATCAAGTCGTTCCGAACTTCATCAAACGAAGACGACTACACGACGTATGCGGTCTG